TTTTTTTACTGAAATAAAAAAAAAATACTTTAAACAGAAATAACATTTTATATTTTTTTTTAAGCTGTCAGTCAACATTCAGACCACGATATCATCTAAGCCCCGCCCCCATGCAAAGGAACCAGTAGAGTGAAATGGAAAAACTAAATCTGAGCTTAAAAAACAAATTTGAAACTGACGCTGCGTTTTAAATGCTTTGTTTCAGTTTTATATCTTTTCTTTTCCATTTCAAAAACTGTGTTTGAACAAAATCTATGTCCCCAATTCACTTCACTGACCTCATAAACCAAACTCATGAATTATCGAACATAAATTTTGGTTCCATTAATAACTAGATGTTTTTTGTGTCCTGAAAAAGCAGAGAACACTTAGACCATGACTGGACCACTAAACCACATTGGTATAATGTTTCAGACTCTAAAACATTGTGTTCTTTACACCGAATATAACATGCAGCTTTGAAAAAGTTCAACCTGTCTATTTAGTCCAAAAAATAAGTATTGGATCATCAAGATGCTGCAAATAATTACAAGTTTAACTCAAGTGTCTCTCTGCTTTATTTCAAAGTGTATTTTGCATCAATATGGTGAATTGTTTTGTAAAAGTGCTTTGATTGTTCAACATGATCACTAGTTTATATACCTGGGTTAGAAGCAGCTTCTCCTGATCGCCTCCACAGCTGACTGCCACATGATGTGGCTCTTAACCGTCTTTTTTATTCTCTTTTCTTCTAGAAATAATGGGAACCCCTTTAATTCTATTGCAAACTGTTTTTGTTTTTTGCTCAGCTTCTTGAAAAGCATTATTTTTCAACTTCATATGTATTTTATAGCAAGTTGTAGGATGTAAAGGTGCAAAAATATAAGGTCCTAAAACATCTAATTTGCTTTACTGATCTTATATTATAAGCCAAAAACATAAAAACATCGACATAATCAAATTGTAACTCACTATTCCTATCACACAAAACCAAAATGGTGATTAGTACTCTTTTTTTTTTTTAGGTTTGCAGGCTTTTAATGAAAATTTTTATTCAGTAATAAATATCAAATCTCTTATGCATCATAATTTAATTTCCAGTTGTATTTAAAGTTCTGATAAAAGCAAAATTTCCCATATTATATATAATAAAAATTAATTCCTAGTTACTTTGATTGTGAAGTAAGCAGTATTTACCATCCTGTAAACAATTCAGAGGCTGTTAGGAAAAAAAAAAATTAACAAACAGAATAATTGAGGCAAACAGCCACAGCAGACAGTTAGGGTTTAAAGCAGGGATTCTGGTTATAAAATGACATCCAGATCATTACGCATCTAATACAGAAATGTGTTGAGGCAACGTTTTGGTGGCAAAGAGAAGCTGGTCAGAGTGGTGAAAAGGATGGATGGAGCTGAATACAGTTTGATCCTGGCAGGAAACTGGACAGAGAAAACAGAAGATCTGAGACTGGATGGAGGTTCATCGTCCAGCAGGAAAATATCCCTAAACACACAGCAGGAGCTCCGGATGAATGAAATCTGTTTGAAATATAGATATTCTAAAAAAATTCACCTTTTTCTCTATTGACTATTTTTATTGAATCCCCCACAATAAAATGTCTCTTAATACAACAGACAAATTTTTTGAATTTGTTGTTGAGTGGATTTAAAAAAAATTATCTTTCTACAGGCTTTATTCTTCATTTCACACAGTAGTTTTTTAAAAATGGCAGTTTATTTCCAATAAGTTATTCTCTCTTTCTTTTTAAAGGCCATTTAATGTTTAAAACGCTACACGTGTTTTATTAGCTGCACTGAATCCAAATCTCTGGATAGTAAAGGTTGCAGACTGGTTTAAATCAGGGGTTCTCTGGGACCTCTATCCGTCATTCCAACTGCTGCCACACGCATCATTTTAATAAATGGGTGTTTAACAGGCTTCTGCAGCACGTGATGGCAGACCGATGATCTAATGCGATTATTCAAATCAGGTGTGCCGGAGAAAAAAAATAAAATCTAAAACATGTGGAGTGCACCGTCCGTCGTGATACTTAAATCAAAGCTCCGCTCCAAAAGCCTCACGGCTGTTTCTGTGCAGAGGAACTAAATGCAAATCCAGGCAGCAATTTCCACGTTTGCAAAGATGTGTTTAAGTTTTCTTTCCTTTTGTTATACCCTACTGTTTATCACTCTAGCACAGGCAAAGGTCTTCATCCATTCTTTACACAGTTTAGCTGAATTAAACTTACTTAGAGCTGCACATTTTAGATGAGTTTCTGGATAAAAGACAAAAAAACCCTTTCTGCAAGAAAAAGAATGAGATTTTCTTCTACATGAAGGTGATATTTTTGGAAAATGGTGTAACAAAGGAAACAATTGTTACCTAATGACAAAATAGAGCTAAGAAATATGGGTGCACAGATTGATTGGTTGGATTTGCTGGTATTGAAATGTCTGAAAATTACTCTGAACTTTTCATTTAGGTTTGAGAGCTCTACCTTAAGGGCAGCTAACACAAATTGTTTTTGTTTAATGGGTGTTGTTTATTTCATCTAGTTAGACAATAAAATATGACATAAACATCAAAGTTGTGTTGTGATCTTCAGATAATAATCGGCATATCAAACTTTTAAATGATCCGTTATCGGACAGAAAACTGCAATTGGTTCTTCTCTATTTAAAACATACTTTTAGAGTAAATTGCTTGCATCAATTCTGGGCAGTTATTCAATAAAAAAGCTTAAAACCTGCAGTATTTGTTATCATATCCACAGTTAACCCTTTATAGGACAAGTAAACATTGTTTATCACTTGCATACCCCTTACAAATGGAGCCCCCCCATCCCTCAGTGAGTTCTAAAAGCAGAAGATCTATATCCAGCTATTCAGCAAAGAACTGCTACATGGCTATACATCTTATTTTCTTATTTTGGCATTAGAACAATTAGATGAGCCCTTGAATGATATATTACCTACTGTTAATTAAGCAAAAAAGAAAAGTAACAGTTAAAAAAAGTAAAAAGATAATTAAAAAGTTAAAAAGTAAAATTAAAAAGTTAATAAGCTTAGTTAATATAAATACATTATATATTAGTATATTATATATCATATTATTATTATAATTAGGTTTATAAACTAAAAAATATAAGTGCCAGTATCAGCATTAACGCCTCTAAGGTTATATTGTACCAAAAAAAGTGCTTCTTTCACTCTCAGAGTGTTTTTCGCGAAATTTCTTTGTAATTTTTCTTACGGTAATATATTTGGGCAAATTGGTGTTTCTTGTTCTTACATTGACATTCATTTTTTCTATCAAAATATCAATATTTTTTAATGTCACAAAGGTAATAAGGTCTTTCCCTGGATTTCAATAACACTATTGGCTTGAAAGGGTGAAAAAAAACAACATATATATATATTTTTTAATCATTTTTTAATCATTTAATCAGCTGACGTTATTGCGAGCTGATTTGGAAGGTCCAAAGACCCACTTGTGGTTCAGAATCACAGGTTACACACCCCTGGCCTAACAGTTATGATAACACCTAAAATAGATTGAAGTTTAAGGTTACATTTCCTGACCTTATTTTAACAATGCTGTATAATTTTACCTTTTACCAATTTTTTTCCTGAATATTGTTATTATTATTATTATTATTATTATATAATACTATTATTATCATCATTATTCACTGTGTTTTGCTGAAGAGTCACTTTCAAAACTTGTTTTGTGATAAATATTGACCAAATCTTAGTCTACTGTAACTGCTGTGTAGCTCACACCTTAGATAATAACAGAGATATCCTTTTCTGTCCCACAGAAATTCAGGCATAGGATGGGAAAAATGAGAAGCAAATGGAAGCAAGTAGGTGGAAAAATGAAAAAGAACTATAAAGAAGAGATTGAGAGATATTACTGTCAGAAAACAGACAGCGTACTGTGATTAAAAATAGCAAACTGCACGCTCACAGACTGAGGGAATGTTCCTTTGCCAGCCGTGCCCTTCGCTCTGCCCCCTTTAGCACCCTTTAACCCCCCTTCCACCCTTTCTGCTTGCTTCTCTTGCATCCCTGCATGGGGCCCCAGTTCTGGCTGCCATACCTCCCAGGCCCCCGACCCCTCCACACCCCATCTCCCCCTCACCCAGGCAGAGGGCCCAGCTCTGCCCTACATAGCAGCGAGCGCAGCAGGCTGGCGCTGAGAGGAAACCCTCGGGTTTACAAACTGTGTCAGGCCTCGAGACGCTTTTCTGTGATCGACGCCGTTCGTCGCTTGAGAGAAAGCAACAACACAACTGCTACCCAGAGATCAGTTTGATTGATGCTGTCAGTATGTAGAGTATGGAATAAATTAGCTGATCCAAACTGTGGATGCAGGAGACGCAATAAATAGCCGCAGGTCAAAAGCTCAGAGGACGGTGAATGCAGCAACTTCTTTTCACAGCTGAACTTATTAGAAATTTTATTCAATTAAATCAGAACTCAAGAATGAGAAAAAAGGGGAACTCTTGAACAAAGTCTGCAACACATTACAGGTACGTGTAATTAGGAGGAGAAAATAGGGCTGCTCATGAGGAAAAAAGTCTGTTGTGGCCTTAATAAGATTCAGAGCCATTTCCTCTGGTGGAAAAAAACTAGTTTTAATTAAAACTCTCATCCTTTGGGGTGAGCCCCAGATATCTGTGAACGAGTCAATCAACCAAATGAACTTGTAATTAGGATTTAAGAAGAGATGTCGAGATGAAGGGGCGGAGAACCAGCACCGTTTCATTCAGGTTAACGCTAACTGGTCTAATAGGATTTCCAGATTACAGCGTGATAATCTCAGCAGGCAGTTCTTCCTAACTGTGTTCGCTCTTGGCTTTTACAGCAAATTCCAGCGTCTCTGTGAAGCGCCCTGAAAACAAGCTTTAGGGTCTGCAGCAAGGGGACGGAAAAACAAGCAGGAGAACGAGACAACGACAGTGACAGGAACAGACGGTGACAGAATGAGGGAGAGAGACGGGAAGCATCCATCCTACCATCCACCATGACCTGGCAGAGACGTCACAGCGCAGCTGCCACCTGAGCCCAGGGTCACTCTGCTTCTCCCACGCCATTCCACACTCTGCCACGCCGCCTCCCTCAAGCCAGAATCCTCATCCCAGAAGTGCTGATAATTAGATAAATCAATATAAAGAGAGCAGAAACATGGATAGAGTCACCAATCAGGAGATGTGCAACCAGGATGCTTCTGTGCTGAAAGTGATAAAGAGGGTGTGTATTTATGGGGACATACAGTACATATGCTATGGTCTGTGTGTGTGTGTGTTGGATGGAGAGGGGACCCTGAAGCAGCTCTCCAAGCAGCTGTGCTTCTCGTTTCGCTGGTCCAACTGCGCCGGCTGCCATGAGCGATGGAGCCACCAACTCTGCGACACGTACTGCCGAGCGCGCCGAACATGTAGCACCTCTCAAATTTATATGCATATAACACGTATGTTCACAAGCATTCACGAGATTCACTGCCAGTCAGTGATCTATGTATCTGCCGTGGTCTGATAGATGTGTTCCAGTGCGGGGGAAGGGGGGGGGGCCCGGAGCCAAAAGCTCTGATGTCTGAGCCAGGCTACTAAAGGGGTTTCCACTGGATGGCCAACATGGCCGGTTAAAACCTAAAACATGCTTCATATGAGTAGCATATTCTCTCTAATGGGCTCCATGTTGTGTGAGTTGGATCTCAACAGTAAAACAAAGAGAATCTGAGCTTTAATCAGATTTAGTATTTAAAAAAACCAAACTTTTTTACAAATGAGAGGCTGAAAAGTGGGATGTTTGTTTCTATTCAGATCCTTTTACGTGGATAAATTGACATAGTGCTACCAGAAGTCACTTAGTTTTTAACCACAATCTTTAGAAGAAAAAAGAATGATCTTGGAAGAAGGCGTTCTGGTTGGATGAGATTGAAATAGCGCCATCTCTTTGAAATGCTAACATTCTATTGTCGTCATCCGGACACTATCCCTATGGTAAGGCATGGAGGTGGCAGCATTATGTTGAGGGGAGGCTTCAGTTCAAGGACTGGTAAGATTGATAGGAGAGAGGAATAGAGAGCAATTCTGGAACAAAACCTTTTAAAAGAGTTTAAATCAAAACTACCAAATGCCGGACCAATCAATACCAGGGTGTAAAGATACAGAGACGACACCAAACCTTTTAGGGGCCAAAACTAGGGTGTACTAAAACAAAAACAAATTAAGGTAACCCTTAATTTGAGGAGGTAGATGAGATAATTTGCTATTGAAATGAGTATTTTTACTCTTAAAATGAGATAGTTAGATAATATGGATTTGAAATAAGACAATGCATATTTTTTTCTTATCTAGTGTAAATTGTCTTTTTCCATTGGCAAAATGTCTGTTTTACCTCCTCAATCCAAGAACAAACATAATTATTTTAAGAAAATACTTATCTACATTTAGATTTTCTTCCAATGAGCATATGAAAACAGTTTTAAATTATTCTTTTCCATCCTTGGATATCTGTATTTTCTTGGTTTTATTTGTGTTCTGCTTTTGCTGCTGTATATGGAAAATGTTCCTACTGAGAGACAAATAAAGAATAATTTTCTCCTCTAGACTTCGACAGACTTTATTGTCATTTTGTATACACAGAGTTTATACAAAACCAGATTTCGTTCAGTACAGCTCTCAATACATTTCCATTTCTAAAGTGCAGCAGTGATAAAATGTAAACATGGTAATCAAATGTAAACATAAGAACGGTAATGATTTACGGTATATGGAATAAATATATATGGAATAAATAATGGAAAGAGAATTAAGTAGAGCAATAACAAAGTGCTAATGATAAACACATGAGGTCCAGACTGTCAATTTTAAGGCCTCATCTGAACTTTGTGAGAATCTTCTTTGTTACTTAGTTCAAAATGTTTCCAAAGCATCACACCTCATCCATGCGTCTGCTGATTTAAACCAGTGTGAGCCTGTTTTTCTCCCGGTTCTGAAGGAGTTTATTGATCAAATTAAACCTTCTGATTCGCTCAGTGATGCTGTTCCCTCTCACCGTTTTAAAGATGTCCATCATGGCTGTTGTTCATGGCTTTACTGGCACAAGTCTGCTCGCTGTGGGACATTAAATGTTACAGTTTTATGAAAGCAACTTTTCACTGAAGAAAATCAGGTTTAATGCATCAATTTAATATATCAAGATATATCAACCAATGCATCAATTAATTTCCCCCCATATTTAGACCAATCTCCAAACCACTCTTCCTTTTTTGTAAGTTTTAGCTGTTGATGCTGGTAATAATGTTGTAGTTGTGTTTTTACACATTATTGTCGCCTAATGTTAGGATAGGTTAGGTTCTGGATATGAAACTGTCAGATCATATTTATTTTAAATCTAAACCTCTTAAGGCGTAGGATGTATTTACCAAAAACATACATACTTATTTTTTTCATATATTTTTATATATTTTCTAAATTGCTCAAACTGGTATCAACAAACAGAAAAGTCCTGAAGGATGATCTGGATGTGAAAATTTAAGGTTAAATGATTCAGGTCCTGAGTAAATGAGGTTTAAATGCCCAAAAAATGTATTAAAACCTTAAAATAAAAAAAACAGATGTCAAACACAACACTCTTTACTCATATGGTGAGGAACAGAGGTTCAGATTTGTAGTGGTTTTTAGTCTCACCTGACGGACTAAACGCCTCATTTTGAGTCTCTTCTTGCCAAGTGGAAAGGAAACGTTCAATTTAATTAAATTCAGTTTATTTATAGAGGGGCAATACACAACACATGTCATCTCAAGGCACTTTACAGTTCACCAGATAATACAGTCAAATTGTTTCAAAGCTTTCTATCTAAGGAAAACCAGTTGATTGCATCGACTAATTGAGTCGAACGCAATCCCTCACAGTAAGCATGCTTGTAGCGACAGTGGAGAGGAAAAACTCCCTTTTAACAGGAAGAAACCTCCACTGTTGAGTTTCAAATCATATACAGCATTAACAGAATTTGGTTCTGGATTCAAACGTTGAAAGATAAAAGTAGACGTTAATCTATTCCATAGATATTTACAAAAACATGCATTTATATTAACTTTAACAGTTGAAAAGACTTACAGGGAAAGAAAATAAAGAGCTAATAGAAGTGACATTTTAAAAGAAATCAGATTCTTTAGGAGGAGCAGACAAATCATAAATTTCAGGCTCTTTGTGTTTGTGATGCTATTGTGCTCTGATGGTGCCAAATGTTCCCCTCTCTAATTCAGTCCTGTCCAACAGAATAATCTTCCTTTCACTCTATAGTCCGCCCCCCTTTCTGAAAACGAAGCTGTTTATACCAAGGTTTTAAAAAAAGAACAGAGAATAACTTCCACCAAATAGTTTTGAGCATGCTTTTTATCAACACACCCGCTGCTTCCCTTCTCCTCGCTGTGTGCTCCCTAACCAGAGGGGAATCTGTTGCTGATGAAGGCAGTGAAAACAAACCAAAGTCGTTTTCTTCTGTGGTATAAACAGTTAGCTGTTTCACATGAGGACGACATTATTGTGGATTTTATTTAGTTCTGCCTATTATAGAAAATAAAAAGGAACGTCTGAGAGGGAAATTGGGTCTGCCCCCTTTGTTTGAGTTCTGGACTCAGTCCAATGGAACGGCAGATTTTATCTGCTGAATTGGATCTGGCTGATCAGCGCCCCTGTCTGTCTGTTTACAGCCTACATGTGACGCTGTCATTTTCTATCTGTCTCTTAAAATCTGCGCTCCCTGTCTTCCTGTCTGTCTGTTTAGTCTCTGCTCACTTGTTTGTCTGCAGCTTCATTAGGAGGCACGGATAACCTGTCAAGGAGAGAAGCATTAACAGCGCCTTTTTTCTTGATCTTAAGTGTGTAGTCAGATTAGAAAGCCTCGCAACATTCTTCATATCCATTTGAATGATTCCTTAATCATATTACAAAAAGAAACTTTAGGGTATTTCATTTTTTGCTATTTTTGTTTTGAACCAGCATGCAGGAAGCATAGCTTTTATATGTCGTTCTATGATAAAAGTCTGAAAATGATGCTGTGAATTTACATAGCAGCCATTTAAAATGTCAAACACCAGCCTGCGACTCCAAGCGGAATCTCTTCGTCTCCGTTTCTCTTTAGATCTTAATGTCCACACATCATGACAGAAAGAATATTTTAGTACAAAGATTGATGTTTAAAAAGGAATTATAGGGGACCAGCCAAGGATCCGTCAATGAAAAAGGGCAAGTCTTGAATGGCTATTACTGTATATTAATAGATGGAGTGCATCTCAACTATCCTCTTTCAAAACAGTCAGATTCAATTAAAGTGTCTGAGTAGATCTTTTTTCAAGTCTTGGCAGAAGTTTTTGCTTGTTGAGATGCTAATTGAGACGTTTTAAAAGGGTAATATGTCTTTCTATAAAGCAGTGGTCTCAAACATCCATTCTTGAGGGATGGATCACTGCTTCAACACAATTGACTCCAATATGAGCTCATCAGCAGAGCTCTGCTGCTGGTCAGGTAGTAAGAATGTCTAAAAGTTACAGGATAACGGCCTTAGAGAGTTTGACACCAATGAGGATGAAAAATCAGATTTATTGTCATTACATTGTCACAAGTACAAAGTAACAAAATTCACTCTATTCATTTAACCAATGCCTTTGGGGAGCAGTGGGCTGCCATTGTGCAGCGTCCAGGGAGCAGTGTGGGGTTAAGGGTCTTTTCCAGGGTACCCAGAGTGGCAGTCTGTAGGAATGGGGCTTGAACTCAGAACCTCTGGATTCAAAGTGCAATACCCTAACCAGGTCACCACTCCACTAATCTAAAACCTTGATGTCTCGCTGTTTGTTTAGGACTGTTGTTCTGCTGTTAAGTCCCATCTTCAGACATCCCAAGATGCCCCAAACTCCAGGTCCGGAGCCAGCCGGGGACGGAGCGACCGAACCCGGTGACGGTATGCTTCCACCCGCCTGCCTCGAGTGGTAACTAGCTGACTGTCAGAGAGTAAACTGAAACTTATTCGATTATTTTTCGAACAAACCAAACAACAGAGTCCCCAAAAAACAAGCACTCGAAAACACATGGAAAACAGAACAGCGCTGGAAACAGACACACACAGGTCACAAAAACACCCCCCCCCACACACCGCGCTCTCTCGTGGTACACCCGCAAAAAAAAAAGAGCTAAAATCCACACAGGGCACAAAAAATAGTATAGCCCCCACACGCTCACAAACACAAAAAAAAAAAACAACCCCCAATGGTTAAAAACCCGGAAAAATTATCCCACTCGAGGGCATCCGTGAACAACTATCGACATCAGGGACACTCCCAGAACTTCCGGGAGACTTGGGATGTCTGCATCTTTTGTAGCTTCGCCTCTTTAACTTCATCCATTCTCCCATTAACTTGGACCAGGAAGAAGAAACATTTCTCAGTGAGATTCTAAAAGCTTCTAAAATGAAACCTGCTGTAAATTTCCAAGGCTTTGGAATTCCCTCTCTAACAAATCTCTGAGAGCTTTATAGAAGATCTTGATTTACTAATCAGGTGACCAGAGGTCAGTTGCGGTTCTATATGACGTCAGAATTCTGCAATGTGCACTTGAGTAATAAGAACTTATACGAGCAGTTTTATTTTTAAACACATGCACATCTTGATCATTTTTCCCCTGCTGAATCAATACCACGAGGCAGGATTATATATTACAACCATGAGTTCATGCTCGTCTGCTCTCTCTTGCTTTTCATGCACCTGAAGATTCTCTACCAGTGTGTGGACCTGTTTCTATGCATTCAGGTCAACTTTTATTACTTTGAGGGAGAAACCAAATTAAGAAAATAAACTGCCTTTGATTAGTTAATTTTCAATTAATCTTGCTTCTTGAGAAGGTGCTGTTTTATTCACAGTTGCAGCTAGTAATGCTAGCAAAGGATCCACAGACTAATGGCTGTTTCACTTAAAGAGTTTAAAGGGCTTTCTGACAAATTTCATAAAAAAAAAAAAAAAAATGTTGTATATGTTAAATAAGACCATTTATTGGAATCAC